AGGCAGGAGGGAGGCAGGAGGGAGGGCCGCCGCAGCGCACGGCCTCACCTGCCACTCAGAACCGAGGCTGCACCCAACGGGCAGGTCTGCTTCACCGCCATCCCTTCCTGTCTTCCGCCACCTTCTCCACGACGCGCCAACGTGGAGGGCCACCCTGTTGGCCTCGGGAAGCCGTCTCTTCTTCAGTGATTCTGCTAGAATCTGCTCTGTCGCCCTTCAGAGCACAAGGACCGCGGTTGGCCACACCCCTGTCACGGCGAGTGTCACCTGTCCTAATGTTCAGCCCACGCGGTACGGTCTCATTCACGTTTGCAGGATGGCTTAAAACCCCGTTTTTCTGGGCTTAACCGGCAGAAGGGCTCTCTTCTTGCCTGGCCCATGGGAGAGGGGGTGAAGCCACAGACGGATGTTCCCACAGGCCAGTCCTGGCAAGGGGCTGAAAAGGGTCCGTGTTGATTTCACTCTCCTCCGCTCTGAAACCCAGGGATACATATTTACACAGAGACAGTGAGTCAGACAGACAGACAGACAGCATGCTGTCAATGCAGCCAAGACCCCAAGCCCGACCTCCTGGGCTCCGTGGGACTCTCAGGGTCAGCAGGTGGAGTTCCAGATCCCACCTGCCGAGCCCACAGCCGCCAACTCGCTGGCATCCAGGAAGTCCCCAAAGCAGAGTAGCTAAGACTTCTGGGGGTCAGCAAAGAAGTTCTAGAAAACTGCAGAAAATCAGAAAACCAAAGGCAGAAGCACGAAACCCACCAGAACCAGAAACTTCACTTCAGGGATCCTCTGAAGGCATCTCCATAGACGCTGGGAAGATAGCGAATAATCGCCAATCGATAACTGATTCCAACCACACTGCACCCACCTGTGAGTGATCTCTGTGTCCACGCACAGTGAGTTTCAGGAAGAACTTTGAAGCCCTCGCTCACGAGGACCTGTCAGGTTAAGAAGAGACATCTGCAGCCCATTTTCCTGCCTGGAAAACCGAGAGGTGTGCCTGTCAGGGGGTGGGGCTGGGGCTCTGTGACCCAAGCAAATGCCAGAGGGGGCCCCTGAGACCCTGTCACGTTTCGTCCCACCTCTCTGCCATCTGAAAATCGCCCCCCTCCAAGAAGAACCGGCAAACAAGAGCAGAGGCAGGATGAATTGGGAAGGGAACAGCGAGGGACAGAACTTATTTTACAAAGCAACAGCGTCTAGCATCTTGGTAGACTCCTAGCACATTCAAGTCACTCCAGAGGGGATTTGTACTTCACCAAAGAGTCCCCGGCATTGTAGTGATGGTAGATAAGAGCAGCCAGACCTTAAGTAATGGCCTATTTTAACATCTGGGGAGAAAAATAAAATTTGCATATAGTTATGGAAATTTACAAAGGTATAGGAAAAACAACCCTCTCCCCCTCCCCATTTGAATAAGCTCAGTAGACAGGAAATCCTCATCGCCAAAGAAAGAGGCTCTCGGCACGCCCCCCCTTGCTATATAAATTCAATTATTTCCTTTAGAAAACAATAAATTAATGGCAGTATGCATACATCCTACTGGGCATAGCATTTTATGTTATATACAGTTAATACCTATTTGAATCGGGTGTTACTGGTGCTTAATTGCTTCATTCTATGCATAGCAAAGCAACCAATTGAATCTAATATTAGTCATTCATCAGCTAAAACATTTTCAAAGAAACAAACTATGTTTCCCCCTCAAAGAACAGCAAGCATTTTAAACACATTTTCCCAGGGATGTTCCGCTAAGGAAAACAGCTTAGAAATGTTACTTTCAACAAATCCTTTCTCTGGCTACCCATGACAAGATGAATTGGAACAAACGCTGGGCTGTTTTTTTTCCAAGCCTTCCTTCTGTCCACCTGTCAAAAGCAGTTGTGACCCCTCCAACCCAAGAGGTGGCCTCCGGGGCTGTGAAATGTGCCACCCTGCACGGATGCCCCCGGCGCTGTATGCCAGCGTCCTCATTAGGGATTATCCAACCCAGTTGCAGCGGGGAGAGGGAGATGGGCCGGCTGCCAGGCGTTCTTTCAACACAGATTCCGAAAGAAGATCCTGCGAAGTGCCGAAAGCCCAGATTTTCAGCAGTCACTCTCTAGATTCTGTTACATAGCAACCATGCCAGCTCACAGAGGGTACCAAGCAAGTTAATATTTTGTTTAAATGACATGCTGCATTAACCCTCTAGGAAAACCTGAGTTTTCTGTATTGCAAGGCGACACCAGTTGTCACCACTGGAACAAACCATGCGCAGATGGGTTGATGACCGGGCTTCATTCATTTGGAATTTTTTTTTTAAACAACAACAAAAATTTTGAAAGCCAGAGGTGACTTTTTCCCCTAACCATTTGTGCTAATATTAGTAAAGGAACATTAACATGCATCTAATATGTGCATAATGTCCTTTAGTTAAAAGACGACTTATAGAGTTGTATTTTGGAAGATACTCATTTCACCCAAAACCTTGATTTGAAAAGTGATAACTCAATAGCACCAAACACTCTTAGGGCCTGGCCCACCGAACGGCACCCACACTGACAAAACCAAAACACAAGAATAACTCTAATTGGGAAGAACAGTCCGGAGAGCCGGGCGCTGCTGGGCTTCTGTGAGCCTCCCTGGAGGTATGTTAGGAAGAAGCAGGAGGAAGGCAGTCAAGCACACTTGAAAATTAACTTGTAAGAACTCCACACTTCCCCTTAGGAACATAAAAGCCAGAGCAGAAGAAACTACCAGAACAACTCTGCTGAAGGTACTATGCTAGCCCGAGGCCAGGAAATCAAGCAAACAAACCCAAAACCCAGAAAGGCTCAATAATGCAAAAAGTATGGAGTCGGGGTACTGTTGCTCTAGATGGGTACCAGAGGCCTCTCTGGGTTGACACTGCACTTGTTTTCTATTCGACCCTCACATCGGTATAAATTCATATCAATTTAAATGAATACGTGGCCAACAATTGAGTTAAAACCTTTAACATTTTTCTTTTTTAATTATAAAACCACTAAGTACCCCTAAAGGTTTTGAGAAATACCCATGGCAGAAAGATGAGCAACGGAAGCCCTCCTTCTTCCAGCCACTGACATGGGCAGGGTGGGCGGGAGCGCAGGAGGGTACTGCTGGGTTTGTGTGTTTTTACTTCATCTCAAGAGATCCAAAAGCTGTTTCCATCTCCACAGCCTTGTGCATTTTTGTGGGAAAAAGAAAAAGGAAACAGCCCCCGTTGCTCCACTACAGCATTTTAACAGCGGCCAGCGCGGCGAGGTCCAGGCTGGTGTGTGCGCGTGCATCAGTGTCGCCCGACTTTCTCAGCACGCCCCATCTGCAGCTAAATCCAGTCCGCAGATAAAAAGCCACTTAACTTTTCCTTGGCTGAGAAAAGAAGAGATGGTGGGAAATTCACCAGCATTGTTCAGGATCTCTTGCTATGGCTTTTGATTCTTACAAAATGCCAGTTCTTAGCTCTTTTTTTAATGTTAGAAGAGACCCTTCTTAAGTCTTATCTTACAGTCTGTCTCTCCCATTTTTTTTCCCCCCAGGTCCCAGTGAGAATGTTCTTCTACACACAATGACAGAAGGAGGGATAAATGACAAGAACAACCAGGTATCAACCTTGAAAACCGTGCAGGCAGCAACGGGCATCTTCCCACCATGATGTCATGGCTACTTTGTTACTAAATTGTTTCCCCATTCTTAAACACTTCTAAGGGGCTCTGAAGTAGCAAGTTAAGATCTGACTTAGAATTCCAAACAAAACTGTCATTTCAGGCTCTGCATCGCACTTCACAAAGCACACCATACCTTCTCAGGAAGTGTGTGTGTGTGGGGGAGAGAGAGAGAGAGAGAGAGAGAGAGAGAGAGAGAGAGAGAGAAGGCGTCCACATGAAAACAGACCCTCTCTCCACACTTAGGAGAAGCTGTTGAAATAACAGAACCAGAAAATCATTTGGAGCCTCTGAGCAATTGGTACCCTGTGCTCCATCAAATGACATCTTTATATAAGTGGCCCTCATGAACTGGAGATTTCTTTTCTGTCCAGTTCTGAATTTCAGCTGTTTAGTTTACAATTCAAATGCTATTCATCACCAGTTTCTTAAAGGGCAATTGGGGGGGGGGAGTCCTGAAAAGGATTACCTGCTTACCTTTTTACTTTCCAATTCACAGAAACCAGACGGTACATTTGAGGGAGGCCTCCTTCACCTTTAACCCCTGCAGGGGGTTTCAGAGCCTCCTCTCTATCAATGTCAACACAGACCAGCTGTCTTTCCCCTTCCTCTAAGCTGCAGACAGTCCTTCCAAACAGGGGCTCCCTGCAATCTACCGCGCGGAGCCTTGGTTTCCCCCAGGGCCCATCACTCAACCACTGAGGTCGAGATTTCCCCCTGGGAAGTGCTCTCGGCGTGTGCACTTGCTGGAAATTTAAACTCCAAGCAGAGCAACGCATCTACTGTTCCTTGATATATTCCACTGCCTGCGCGATCGCAAATGGGGAGAAAATAAAGTCCAGATGCAATTGAGACAAGGGATTTGGCATCCGTGGAGAAAAGTGCACATTACTCCAATCCTCCACCCTGAGCAAGGCGGCAGAGCCCCAGCTCCCTCTGGGAGTCATTCCAAAGGAAGCAGCCTTTGGAGCTGGGGGGAACGAAGGCATTCACCCCTGCCGCAGGGGTGGGGGCGTGAAAAGTTTGCCACAGAGCTGGGGGCCATGTGCCAAGGAGAAGGCACTCTACTGCCGGAAGGGACCTGCCGGCTGCACCTCGCTCAGGCTGGCCGGCCGGTGGGACCGTGTGACCCCCGTGCACACGGGTTTTCCTTAATGACAGCAGCCTGCAACTCCCAGCTCCAGAGCAGCGGAGACCACCGCCGGGCGGAAAGGGTTACCAGCACAATGCAAAGCGATTTCGCCCGGGCATGGGGGGCGCCGAGTCCCCGGCCACCTCCGGGCCAGCGTGCTCGCTGGCCTCGCCTCCGCCCGGGCGCCGGGCGATCCCTACCTTGCGCGCCGAGCTGGTGGTTCTCCATGTTCGCCGCCGCCGAGTCTGCCGCCGCCGAGGCGCTGGTCGCGGCTGCCGGGCCCGGGCCGGGGCCGCCGCCGCCGCTCAGTTCCGCCAGTCTCCGGTTGGTGGCCGTGAGTTCCGCTCGCAGGTTGGTCACCTCCTGGCTGGCCGACTGGACCGCCCCATCGATGCGGAGCGCGAGCTGCTTATTGTCTTCCATCATGCTCAGGATTTTGGCCTGGGGGCGAGAGAGGTGACAAAGAGCTGCATGATGCGCGGGGGGCGCGCGGCCGGGCACCCCCGGCTCTACCTGTTGGGTCCCCCGCGGCCCGGCTACCCTGCGCCCCGACCCCCAGGCACCGGCAGCGCCGGCTCCTCCGGCGCAGGAATGACAGCGGCGCCTCCAGCTCGAGCCGCGGCGGTGGCGAGGCGGCGGGGGGAGGAGGAGGAGGAGAAAGAGGAGGAGGAGAAGGAGGAGGAGGAGCAGCGATCGCCGAGACCCCGGCGGGCGGGCGGTCGGGCGCCGGGAGCTGCGCGCAGAGGACACCGCGCGCCGCCAGGCACTCTTCAGCCGGAGCCTACCATTCGCCCGCTCGGGAGGGGGCCTGGGCCGGGGGCCGGGGGCACCCTCCGTCTTCGGCGCCCCCCACCTCGGGACACACCCCCAGGGGATGCGGGGGGCGAGCCGCGCCCCCGAGGGGGCCCAGGCGGCGCCCCAGGCGAGGGTGGGGGCGCCTAAGCCGAGGCCTGTCCTCTGTCCCCTCCCCGCAGCGGTGGGCAGCCCCGCCCCGCGGACGACTGCCCCGCGCCCGGCTGGGGCTTGGGAGGCGGTAGGTGCTCAGGAGAGAGGGGTGCGCGGAAGAGGGGCCCCGGAGGGGAGCTGGAGGGAGCTCGTGCGAGCTCAGGAGGCTCAGGAGTGGAGTTCTTGCTTTGCGGGTTCCCTAAATCGGGGGGAGCTGAGCTGGTGGCCCGAGTGCCACTCACCTCCGCCCCCGCCCCGCCGCCGACCTGCGCTGTCAACCCCCGCAAGGAGCGCGATGCTTCCCTGGCCCGGGCCGGTGCAGCTGCGGCCTCTCCACAGCCCCCACCCGGCTGGTGCCCCCCAGGTGGAGGGCGCTGCTCCAGCCGGTCCAGAGCTTCTTAGCTGGGCTGAGAATTGGCGGGGAGAGCGGGGAGGATGGGCGGGAGGACGGGGGGGCGTCGGGGCGGGCTTCTCCTTCTCCTGTGTCGAGAAGTGATGCGCCCCGCGGCCTCAGTTTACCCACCGCCTCTTCTCGGCCACCGACGAACCGAGGTAACCTTATCTGAGAGGCCCCTCCCGACTCCTCTTTCCCAGAGCGCAGGCTTCGCATTTTTTCACTGGGGCCCTGGATTCCAGCCACCAGACTTTGTTACCATAGCAAGCTTCATTCCATGCAAATAGGGCAACTTAAAGCTGCCAGTGCAGGCCCCCGGCCGACAGTGCGACACCACCATTCCTGCCACCATTCCTGCTCAGCCCCCTGGGGACGAAGAGCGTTTTGCAGAAACCAACGGGGGATGGGGGGGGAGGGGGGACTCTTGCATAAGACCAGGGCACCCACCCTTCAGACCCAATGGCATGAAAACCCCTAAGAACCAAGCCAGGAAAAGAATGAATGTGCCTTTTTATGCATTGTTATCTCTTTGACTAAGGATTATTATTCTCCTCTTGGAGGAAACTGAGGCTCTGGGCAGAAGTAAGCAATTTACTTAAGGGACCCATAGAAATCAGGTGAATGAGGTAAGTGAGCATCTGACTCTAGGTCGTCCCACTGTGCCTCCCAGGAGACCTTGACTGCTAGGGCTTTTATTCCTTTTAGGTGGAACCAGTAACCACTCTTGCCCCACCCTGTGGCCACCAACAACCTTCTGCAAGAGGGCAGAACAGTATGAGATGGTGGCATATGAAGCAGGAGGCACAGTTGTCCAATGTCTGCCCTGCTCAGCTAACTAACTGGTCAGTGTGGGAAATGAGTTCTGACCAAATGGACCAACCCTGGCTCCTGGCACTGCGTGGTTCAATTCTTTGAAGGCCTTTGGATTGCAAGGGAGCATCAAAACCACAGCATTCTGTGGATCTTCAAAGGGCAGAAGTCATGGTGCGGCCACTGTGGAAAACATGGGGGTTCCCCAAAAAGTTAAACATGGGATTACATAAGACGTAGCAGATATGCCCCTGGGTATGTGTCCAGAAGAGCTGGAAACAGATATCCAGACAAAAATGTCAGGAATGTCACGAATGACATGTATGCTCAGAGCAGCACTACTCACCACAGCCAGAAGGCAGAAATGACCCAAATGGCCATCAATGGACAATTGTTTCATACTTATGATGAAATATTATTCAGCCATGAAAAGGACTAAAGTGTGCCACAATATGAATGGAACTTGAGGACACTGTTGGGTGAAAGCAGCCTAACACAAATGTCACTTATTGTCAGATTCCATGGACATGAAATACCCACAATGGGCAAGTCCACGGAGGCAGAGGAGAGGTGGGGTGTCTCCCAGGGGCTTTGGGTTGGGGGAGAAAAGTGGGCTATTGATACTTTATTAATTGCTTAATAGGTCATTAATAAATTATCAACTCATTAATAACCTGTTAATACATTACTAACTGCTTTGTAGGTCATTTAGGGGTGGCAAAATATTTTGGAGCTAGACGAGAGGTGATAGTCACCCAGTACCGTGAATGTTCTAAATGCCATCAGAAGGTCCACATGAAGGTGGTTGATTCCACGTTGTCACCTCTGCTACGGCAGGCGTCAGAGGGAAGCGTAACGCATCTGCTTCCATGTGCTTCTCCGGCTTCCTGGGAACTTCTGGGCAGGAGAGGGGGCAGTTGGGTCTTTCCTGCTCTCCCTCCTCACAGCCATTGCACCAGCCCTCGGCAAGCTCCGCGCGTGTCTGGGTGTGAGCCTGTGTGTGAGCCCGTGTGTGAGCGTGTGTGTGAGCCTGTGAGTGAGCCTGTGAGTGAGTGTGTGAGTGAGTGTGTGAGTGAGCCTGTGAGTGAGTGTGTGAGTGAGTGTGTGAGTGAGCCTGTGAGTGAGCCTGTGAGTGAGCCTGGGTGTGAGTGTGTGAGTGAGTGTGTGTGTGAGCCTGGGTGTGAGTGTGTGAGTGAGTGTGTGTGTGAGCCTGTGAGTGAGTGTGTGAGTGAGTGTGTGAGTGAGCCTGTGAGTGAGTGTGTG